GCGAATGGGGCTGTGCGGCGGCTGTGACGCGCCCAGGGCTGCCCGCCATTAGCCAGACAGGGAATAGAACCCGGGTCTTCTGACCACACAGGGCGGTTTCCTCTCTGCCCGTCTGCCTCCCGCATTCAGAGATGTGCTTTATGTTAAATAACAAACCAAGACGAGACTGTCCCCGGTGGAGAGTAACCCGTGGAAAACTCCAGGCACTTGCCCTCCCTGGGTTCTCACTTCTCTTTGCTGTTCCCTCTTCACTGAATGCCATTCCCTGTGGCTCTGTTTCTCCAGCTCCCACGTGCTTCTCAAGGCCCAACTCAGATCTCCCTTCCCTGGATCCTGAGGGCTCCCCTCCCCACCCCTTTTGAATGACTTCACCCTCATGACTCCCTCAGTATGTCGGGAGCACGTATCTCGGGGTGGCCTGTATTATAGGTAGATTTTTAAGTTCTCCATGGAGGTCTGTGTAGGTTAAACGAGACCATGACATGGATAAGGAGGAGAGGTGTGTCGGTGCCTAGTAGACGTTCAATAACTGTCAGTTCTGTCCCCTGGGATTGGGAGTTTGGGGCCTTGTACATACATGATGAATGTACAAAAAATCGTGAATCCTTGAGACAGGCACAGGCTTGCAACCCTGGCCTTAAAAGACCGCGCAACTGAACTGCTCAAGCACGAATGCTAAACAATGTGCTCTTTGCTAAATGTCAGGCTGTGCAGGGCCCGCCACTCCCTGCCGCGCCCCTGCCGCCCGGGCTGGGAGTGTGAGCGAGGCTGGGGCGCGTGTGTGAGGGGCGGGAAGGGGTGCTCTAGGAGCACGCTCCTCACCTGTTCCCCGCTGGGTCTCTTCTCGGTGAGTAGGGCCTATTTTGGGAGGGCTCTGGCAGATTCCAGGGAACAAACAGCGGCAGATGGGAGGAATGGTGACCTTATGTCCCCCAGGGGATCAGGCCAGAGCGCTGAAGCTGCAAGGAGCGGGGCGTGGGGGGAAGGTAACTACTTTCTGGCCGGGAAGGTGCTCAGAAAAATCCACCCTCACCCACCCCTATTCCCTGGTGACCATCGTGCTGTGCCCCACCTCCGTCCCTGCCCTCCACCCTAGACAGAATAACTTGGACAGACCTGGCTATGTAACTTTTTTGTTTAAAAAAAAATATATATATATATGTATATATATTATATATAATAAGAGTAATACAAACAACTTATAGAAAATTCAAAAACTACAGAAAGATGAAAAGAAAGAAACCGTCTGGTCTCATCCTTTGGCGAGGTGGGCAGAGAGACCAGGAGGGCATTCTGTGAACACCCCTCCCTCCTCCTCCCAGAAACGCCCGTGGGCTCCCACCCCACGTGCCGCGGCCACCCGCAGTCAGGGGTCTGACTCAGAAGTCGGGTGGGGTCAGGACAGAGGGGTGAGTGGGCGGGTGGGAGGGGGAGCGCTGCCCACTCTGACATTAGCACGTTTGTCTCCTTGTGGTCTTTCCTCTGAGTTTTTGTGACCATCCTGTATCCAGCGCCTCAAAACGCCAAGGTAGCGCGGTGCTGCCCAGGCTCTAGAAGAGATCTGTCAGGAAGAAGGGCCGGGACAGGCGACACTTGCCAACGGCTGGTTTATAATTAATCGTCTCCCATTAAAAAAAAAAAAAAGGTGACTCAGTTTTAAAGAACACTGTTACTCAAGTTCCCTGGCAGAGGAAGTGACCATTATGTTTCTCCCGCGGCCCTGCTTTTGTGGAAGAGGAAAATAGGCTTTCTATTTGCTATTGCTGCGAGTTGCCCAAATAGTCTGGCCATTGTCCGCGAGCGCAGGAACAGAACAGCCCCTGCTATTGTTCGGAGGGTCACCAAGCATGGCAAGAGCTTCCATCTGGACTGGGTAAGGGAAGTGAGCAGGGACACACATTTCCTGGAACTGGCAAAGCAGGCGCAGGAAAGAGCTCCCGTGGGCGCTGGACTCACGGGCAGTGCTTTCCCCAGCGTCTCCTCGTTGGGGCGAGCTGGTCTGGTCTCAGTGGAGGGCCTGTCCATTGTACCACCAGAGGGGGCACCTCTAGACCACTGTGTCAGCTGTTTTTTTGTTTGTTTGTTTGTTTTAAATATATTTTTATTGATTTCAGAGAGGAAGGGAGAGCAAGAGAGAGATAGAAACATCCATGATGAGAGGGAATCATTGATTGGCTGCCTCCTGCATGTTGGACCGAGCCCGCAACCCAAGCACGTGCCCTTGACTGGAATCGAACCCGGGACCCTTTGGTTTGCAGGCTGACACTCTATCCACTGAGCCAAACCGGCTAGGGCAATGTGTCAGCTGTTTTTAATGTGGAGGCCCTGTCCAGGTGGAGACCATGTAGGTGCCCTACATGAAACAAGCATTTATTAAGCACCCACTGAACTCTCTGATGAGTGCAAGCAGGAGCTCACGGTCTCGTAGTTATGGTTGGGGGTGGGGAGCTGTGTACAGTCCGGGACCGTGCCATGTGATAAGTGCCAGTGAGAGGATGAGCCGCCTGTGGTCCTCGGCCCCTACTTGGACCTTCATGCCACCTGCCCCGTGTTTTGTATTGGTGCTCCCGGCTGCCTGTGAGTTCTGATGTCTGCTCATCAGCTGGTGGAGGGGTGTTGCTTGCACCCCACCGCGGGGCCTCCCACCAGCAGACAGGAGTGGCTCCGTCTCTGTTCCTGCAGAGGTGGTAATTCGTGCATGAGCTCAGTGTCCCTGTGGGGTTTAATCCTTACAGCTGCTTTATCAAGTGGAAAATGAAAAAGTGAAGATATCAATGTAGTGATCAGAAGTGTTGGTACGTCTCCTAACGTAACCGCATTCAGGCACAGATGGAAATCAGTATGTGAACTGAAAGTGGCAAGCTGTGTCTCCACCAGGCGCTTTTCGGGCTTGAATCCATTGGACTGTGTATTCTGTTATGAAGGAAAAGGACACGGGTGACACACACACACTAGGACCAGCGATTCTACTCAGGGAAACTCGGAAAATGCACCAAAAGCCACATGTGAGAAAGTTGATAGCCACACGCTTTGAGATATGACTCAAACCTCCCTCAATGGGAGATGATCTACTGTAGCTGCACAATGGAATTTTTTTTAAAAAAATATTTTATTGCTTTTTTTACAGAGAGGAAGGGAGAGGGATAGAGAGTTAGAAACATCCATGAGAGAGAAACATCCATCAGCTGCCTCCTGCACATCCCCTACTGGGGATGTGCCCGCAACCCAGGTACATGCCCTTGACCGGAATCGAACCTGGGACCCTTGAGTCCGCAGACTGACGCTCTATCCACTGAGCCAAACCGGTTAGGGCTGCACAATGGAATATTACACAGCGGTGAAAAAGACACACTGGAGCTCCATGTAAATAAATCACAGAAACACAATGAATGATAAAAATACATCGCATGAGTAGTGAGTCTATTTTTCAAAGTCAGGGAGGGATGCCCTGGCCAGTTGGGCTCAGCGGTTAGAGTGTCAGCCCACTGACCTAAGGGTCTCGGGTTTGATTCCCAGTCAAGGAATCAAATGGACCTCGGTTGCAGGTTCGATCTCCGGCCCAGGTCAGGGTGTGTGTGCGGTAAGCAACCCGTCGATACCTCTTTCTCATGTCGATGTTTCTCCCCCTCCCACTTCCCTTCCACTCTGTCTGAAAACCAAGGGGAAAATGTCCTCGGGTGAGGATTTTAAAAAAAAGTAAGGGAGACGAACCCCAGGACGGAACACTGTGTGGGGGGAGGCTGGAGGGTGCAGAAGGGGAGCGGGTGCTCAGGGACAGTGATTGCACTACTTGTTACTGCAGCCTCGGGGCAGAGGACTCCGGCTCCCAGTGGTGAAGTGAGAAGGCAGCCTGTGTCACCAGGCAGGGCCCAGCCCCAGGAGACGCCATCTCTGTCCCTTTGATGCCCATGCCCCTGGTCCCTGGGCTGTGGCCAATGGTCGGTTTGCACAACCAGCCCTGGCTTTGGGATTGTCAACCTCTGGGAGTCACTGAGCATTAGGCCCTCCTTGCTGACAGCCCCCTCGGATGGGGTGGGAGGAAGGACAGTCTGCCAGGTGTGAGGTTAAAACTCTCTCCCAAGCGAGAAGGCTCTGCAGGTCTGAGAGAGACTGGCGCTCCTCCTCCAGGCGCGAGAGCAGGGGTGGGGGGGGTGAGGTCGGATGCTCGGGCAGCTGCTGGGCCCCTACAGAATCTTGGGCCAGATGTATTGCTGCTGCTTGCCAATGAGTGGTTGGACATTTGGTTTGAAGGACTAAGTGTGCTTCCTGTGAAACTGGCTGTCTTCCCTGGCCCCAGTGCCCTCAGCTTCTTGGACTCATTTAAGAGATGGGTTAATAAATTAGTCCAAGGTGGGCTCTGGCTGGTGTGGCTCAGTGATAGAGTGTCGGCCCACACACCAAAGGGTTTCGAGTTTGATTCCAGGTCAAGGGCACGTGTTTGGGCTGCAGTTGTGGTCCGGTCTCGTAGGGCTGGTCGGGGAGCCTGTGGGAGGCAACAAATTGATGTGTCTCTTTCCCATCAATGTTTTTCTCTCTCTCTTCCTCCCTCCCTCCCTCCCTCCCTTCCACTTTCTCTAGAGATCAGTGGAAAAAATATCCTCGGGTGAGGATCAACAACAACAACAAAAATTGGTCCAAGGTGGCTGGACTAATTTATATCTTAGAGCACAAATATATAATCTGTACTAAAAAAAATGTACTTGTTCCTTTAATTTTGGACACTAGGCCGTGAACAGTGGCAGGCCCTCAAAGGGTTTTCTAAGCAAAAGAGTGGGGAGGCCGGATCGAGGCTTCGAGGGCTCCCTTGGGCAGCTGGGTGGAGAGGGCCAAGGCTGGGGCCTGGGGCCACGGGGAGGCTGTTGCCATCACCCAGGCGGAGGCCTGGACCACGGGGTGGACTTGGGAGATGTTTAGTATTGAAGCCTCGCGGGGCTTCCCCAAGTCAGGAATGAAGTTGCTCCGTTTGCCGTGGACTGACTGCGCGTCTCCTCTGTCCCCAGAGGTGGAGAGCCATGTGCTGGCCAGCAGGCCCGGTGCCAACGTCACCCTGACCTGCCCCGGCGGCAAACCGGGGGGCAATGCCACGGTTCACTGGGTGCTGGGGAACCCGGCGACAGTCTCGAGCCACGACAGATGGGCTGGATGGGGGAGGAGGCTGCTCCTGAGGTCCGTGCAGCTCAACGACTCCGGGAACTATTCGTGCTACCGGGACGGCCTCCCGGCTGGAACCGTGCGCCTGCTGGTGGAGGGTGAGTTGTGTCCGAAGAGCTCTCGGGGACGTGATGGGATGGCTCCCTGAGCAGTAGCTCTGCATCCCAGGCTCCTGTTTATTCCTTGGCCCAGGGATCCTGGGGACAGGCCCGCCGACGTCTGCCAGCGAGACTGGCGGGAATTCCCGCTGGGTGGGTGCACCTGGCTGGCGGGGACTCCGTCCCGCTGGCCTTGATGGGCAGGTAGGGCCAGAGGTGGGAGCCAGGGGGCCTGGGTGTGCCTCCTCCTTTGCAGCTCAATGTCTCTGCTCCTCCGTCTCCTCTTTGGTAAAGTAAATTAACGTTACGTGGGGCCTTGACTTACGAGTTTAATTCCTTCCGAGACCGAATTCGTTAAGGAGCTCGTTAACTCAAATTACTCTGTCAACTCAATGCAAAAAACCGGCGGAGAGACAGTTGGTATCTCAAAAAACTCGTTAGTCGGGACACTGGTAAGTCAAGGCCCCACTGTATTACCTTCCCTCAGAGTCAGTGCAGAGATTACATGGGGAGGAAGTGTGAGTGCGCGCACACATGGACATAGGATGTTGGACACTCTCAGACCAACCAGCTTTAGTTTGAGAATCAGCAGGCTCTCAGCTCCCTCACGTCTAAGACGCGCTGGAGCCAGGTGCCCCGTGCGCCAGGCCCTGTGCCGAGGCACCGTCTCCCCTGTCACATGTCCCCGGGACCCTGTGCGGGAAAGCAGTGTTGCTGTTACTTAGCACCATTTAATTTTAGAGGAGGAAACTGAAAAGAGCTGGCCTGTGTGACTCCAAAGCCCCCATGTTGGGGATTGTTCTCTCTCCCCTTTAGACAGGGTAGCCCTGGGCGTCTCCCTTTGCCACTGTGAGGTCCTTTAAGTTCCCAGCCACTGTTGTGTATGTGGCTGTTTGGGTCCCAGCTGGCGCCAGAGCTGGGGGGCGGGGCGGGGGGGCGTGGTGAGGATGGCTAAGCCAGGGGCTCCCCGAGAAGGGGAGGGAGGAGAGCTCACCTCGGCCCCGTGTGCTGGCTTCCAGGTCCTCCAGAGGAGCCCAAACTCTCCTGCTTCCGGAAGAGCCCCATCAGCAACGTCATCTGTGAGTGGAACCCTCAGAGCCCCCCTTCCCGGAGCACCAGGGCCATGTTGTTGGTGAGGAAGTTGTAAGTATCCTGGTCTGGGCTGTGTTTATGTCTGCTCATCCTTCACTGAGGCCCTGGGAGGTGGCGGGGGGCGGGGTGTAGGGGGTGGGGTCGGGGGAGCGGGGGCTCTCAAAGGAGCCAAGTGGCACTGGCCAGCCAGTGATTCCAAAATTTTATCATCAGAAAATATTAGAAAATAATTAATTCCTCTGGGAAGAAGAGGAGGGAATGAGAGCGGAAACTGAGGCAAACTCCGTGCCCTCCCCTGCTGGCCGCTGTGCTGGGATGTCTGTCCTGTCAGCCGCCGCAACAGGCATGGGAAGTGGGTGTCATTTTTCTCTGTAACAGATAGAGAAACTGATTTCCTTGGGTAAGTCATCCTGCTGGTAGCTCTGCTAGGAGCCCAGCCCAGTCGGCCTGACCTTATGCAACGCTAAGGTTTGGGGCGTTGTTCTGAGATGCAAATGGCGCTGGCAGGGGAAGGGAAGCCGCTCATTATTGTGTCCAGGTGTCCTGACCTGGTGAGCTTATCAAGTGCTTCCCTTGGTAATGGCAGACGACGGGAAGTGGTGATGGGAGGAAGTGGTGATAGAGGGGAAGTGGTGATGGGGCGGAGAGGGAGCCGGAGGGGGTGGTGGTGGTGTTGGTGGAAGTCACACCTGCCTGGGGCGCCTCTCTGCTCCAGGAGATGGGATGAGTTGTGGCAGGGATGTAGAGGAGGGGGAGATGCTGAAAACCAGCACACCTCTGCAGTTCGGTCTGTCTCCATCCAGAGCCGAGGGCCCCTTAGCCCAGGTGCTCCTATTGGAGTTTGGGCTGTCAGTCACCAGGGTCTCAAAAAATCTGAACAGTGAGTTCAACCGGGTGATTCAGTGTCCAGGGTCAGCTGCCTAGACCAGCCTTAGCAAGTTTATTAGAATACTTTGTGTGTTCGTTACTGGCATTTTGAGAGAGAGAGAGAGAGAGAGAGAGAGAGAGAGAGAGAGAGAGAGAGGTTTTAGCTCACACCTTCCTCCTGTCAGCAGCCTCAGGCACTCTGTCCTCCTGCCTGGCCGGGTGCTTCTGCCTTGAAGTGAGGAAGTGGGGTAGGGAGCAACTGTGAGAGCCTGGGGGACCACAGAACCCACTCAGGCCCGACTCAGACCCTGGGCTGCCGGGGGTGAAACAGGCCCCTGGAGGGAGGTTGTGTGTCTTGCTTTGTGCACACATCCACGCCCTCCCCAGCTGTGCTTGCTCACCCATTCGTGTCACCGGGGTTCCTTTCGGCGAGTTCAGCATCAGCTGTGGGCCGGGCTGGGTGGGATGGAAGCCTGGGTGGGATGGAGGGAGTGAAGAAGGGAGTCAGGGAAGCTCTAACTCAGTCTGGGGAGGTTGGGGCAGGCTTCCCCGAAGTTGGTTCTGGGCCTGGGGTTCAAACCCGTAACAGGAGGTTGGTGGGTGATTCGCCACCCCCGCGGCGGGCGAGTGGCTGCCGTGGCCTCTCATGCCCACGCATGTCAGAAGTGGGTGACGTCTCAGGCTCCCAGGCCAGGTGGGCCGGTGTCTGACTCACCTCCAATATCCTCAGTCACCCGGCCTTCCTTTCTGGGCTCACCTGCCAGAAATGCTCCCACCTTCGAACCCCCGGCACCCTGTGCTTCTGGATGGCTTTTCTCCTGGCTGCCCCCCACCCCCACCCCTCCCCCGCCTTTCCAGGAGCACAGGACCTGGCAGAGTGCACCCCCTTCAGCACCTTTGAGCCATGGGCCCCAGCTAGATGTTTTACACTCATTTTTGTAAAAAAATATTTTTATTGATTTCAGGGAGGAAGGGAGAGGGGGCAAGAGATAGAAACATCCACGATGAGAGAGAATCATGATCGTCTGCCTCCTGCACACCCCGCACTGGGGATCGAGCCCACAACCCGGGCATGTGCCCTTGACCAAAATTGAACCTGGGACCCTTCAGTCCGCAGGCCGACGCTCTATCCACTGAGCCAAACCGGCCAGGGCTGCACTCATTTTTCAATTAACCACCAGGCAGGTACTACAAATCTTCCCATTTTCAGATGAGCAAACAAAGGCTCAGAGAGGAGATAACTTACTCAAAGTAGCAGGAACTACCACATGTGGAGCCGGGACTCAGCACCAGGGCCAGCCTGCAGAGCCCAGCCCCCCTCGCCATGTCCCGCCCCCCCAGTCCTGAGTCCTCGGGGAATCTGAGAGTGGGCAGCTCTTGTTTTGTGTTGGCAGCCAGCATGGTCCGCCGGAAGACTCCCAGGAGCCGTGCCAGTATTCCCAGGAGTCCCAGAAGTTCTCCTGCCAGCTGGCCGTCCCCGAGGGAGACAACTCTTTCCACCTTGTGTCCCTGTGCATCGCCAACAGTGCTGGCGGCAAGTCCAGCAGACCCTACACATTTGAGGGTTACGGAATCCGTACGTAAGCTCTCCCAGGCCTCCTGGGCCCCTTCCAGCTGTTTCCCTCTTGGGCTTCTCCAAGGGGCAGGGAGGGGCTGGGCGAGGGTTTGGTGAGCTGGGGCTTTTGGAGCTTCACTTGACAAAAGGTCAGGCTGTGGCTGACCAGGGGAGCGGGGGAAGTGCTTGGGCAGGGTGGCGTCCTGCTGTGGGGGTTTGCACAGCCTTGGGGGGTCTTTCCTCGGCATCACGCTTGCCGCTACAAAGAGCATCCTTTTCCCACAGTGCGACCTGACCCACCCGTCAACATCACGGTCACCGCCGTGGACCGAAACCCCCGCTGGCTCACTGTCACCTGGCGAGACCCGCCCTCCTGGAACTCATATTTCTACAGGCTGCAGTTCGAGCTGCGATACCGGGCGGAACGGTCCAAGACATTCACCACATTGATGGTAACTTCTCTTACTTCTGGATAGAAAAGTGCCCCTGGCTACTCAGGGGCAGTAGAAAGGCTGCTAGAAGAAAGCAACGGGTTCTGGGTCCTGTTCCGCACTCACCATCGGCGTGGTTCTGGAGGAGTCTCTGAGCCTTTCTGAAATGGCGGCATCGCCTATAAAAGGGAAATGAAAACCTCCCTGTGTAGGCCTATTGGTGAGCGCGGGAGTGACCTGGGAAGCGAGTGGGGCTGTGAGCATGTCGGGACGTGGCTGGCAGAATTCCACGGTGCATGCGGGTGGGACAGTGACTTCCAGCTTCTGTCTGTGTTGGCCCAGAGGGCACCCGTGTTTCTGAGCTGCTGGGGTGATGGCAGCCCTTGGAGAAGCTATGCCCAGCCGAGTCGCCCCCTAGACCCGAGAGAGGGAGGGCTGAAGGGCAGGGCAGCCAAGGGCATCCTGTCCCTGTGGAGAGTAACGTGCCTCTGCCCTCAGGTCAAGGAGCTCCAGTATCGCTGCACCATCCGTGATGCCTGGAGTGGCATGAGGCATGTGGTGCAGCTGCGCGCCCGGGAGGAATTTGGGCACGGCCTGTGGAGCGAGTGGAGCCAGGAGGTCCTGGGCACCCCCTGGACAGGTAGGTGCTGGTGGGCACGGAAGGGATGTTTCAGCGTTGCTGCTGTATCAGTTACCTGTTGCTATATAACAAGTCACCCCCAAACTCGGGGTAAAACAAATCATTTATCTGCTCAGGATTTTGGAAATGAGTCAGCGAGGCAGTGTTCGTGTTGGTCTTGCCTGAGACAGTACATGAGGTTGCATCAGGCCTGCAGGACCCTAGGGGGCCTCCCTCACATGCCTGACGGTTGGTGCCGGCAGGTGGCTGGGGCCCTGGATTCTTCCCTGAAGCCTGGCCCCTTCCAGGAGGCCACCCCGGACTCAAAGAGGGGAAATTATTTCACAACTTGATGGCAGCAGCCGCAAAGAATTTGTAGCTATATTTAACTTACCACGGTTACTAATGCTTCTTATTAAAAAAAAAAAAAAAAAAAAAAAAGATGTTAAAGGCCCTGGCCAGTGTGGCTCAGTTGGTTGGGTGTCATCCCATGCACCAGAAGGTGGCTGGTTCAATTACAGGTCAGGGCACATGCCCAGGTTTTGTAGGGGGCGTGCAGGACGCAGGCAGTTGATGTTCCGCTCTCACATCGATGCTTCTCTCTCTCCCTCTCCCTTCCTCTCTCTCTAAAAGTCAATAACAATATTTAAAAATAAGTAAATAAAAACAAAAAAAGATCTTAAAGGTAGTAATAATTGCCTCTGAGGAATGATTGAAATAAGTGTGTTATAGAACATGAAAAATTCCAGAAAAGTATGAAGAATAATTATCAATGGTATATCTTCCCAGCTAGAGAAAACCAGTTAGAACATTTTAGTATACTTCTTTCCTGTGTGTGTGTATTTTCTATATGATATATATATATATATATATATATATATATATATATATATAGTATATAAAATATTGTGAGCATTTCCATGTTATTAAATGTTACTCATTATTTTTGGAAATGTATAGTATATAAAATATTGTGAGCATTTCCATGTTATTAAATGTTACTCATTATTTTTGGAAATGTAACTGCATGATTAATTTTTTTTTTAACCCATGGGAATTTTTTTTTTTAAATTTCTTAAAGTATTACAGAGTATTACACGTCTCCTTTTTTCTCCTCCTTGACATTCCCCCGGCTTCCCCCACCCCCCAGTGTCTTGTGTCCATTAGTTATTCTGATATGCATGCATATAAGTCCTTCAGTTGATCTCCTACTCCCCCCAACCCTCCCCAGGTTTCCCACTGTAGTTTGACATTCTGCTCAATGCTGCTCTGCCTCTGTATCCATTTTTGTTCATCAGTCTATAATGTTTCTTATTATCCATAAATGAGTGAGTTCATGTGGTATTTTTCTCAGCTTCCCAGGGGCCATCTCAGTCTCACAGGGGCCATCTCAGCCTCACAGGGGCCATCTCCGCCTCACAGGGGCTGTCCCAGCCTCATGGGGGCCGTTTCAGCCTCACAGGGGCCGCCTCAGCCTCATGGGGGCCGTTTCAACCCCACCGGGGCGGTCTCAACCTCACCGGGGCTGATTCAGCCTCACCGGGGCCGGTTCAGCCTCACCAGGGCCGTTTCAGCCTCACCGTGGCCGTTTTGACCTCACCGGGGCCGTCTCGACCTCACCGGGGCCGTCTCGACCTCACCGGGGCCATCCTAGCCTCACCAGGGCCGTCTCAGCCTCACAGGGGCCGTCTCAGCCTCACAGGGGCCGTTGCAACCCCACCGGGGCCGTCTCAGCTTCACCGCAGCTGTTTCAGCCTCACCGGGGCCAATTTGACCTCACCGGGGCCGTTTCAGCCTCACATGGGCTGTCTAAACCTCACAGGGGCCGTCTCAACCTCACATGGGCCGTTTCAACCTCACTGGGGCCGATTCAACCTCACCGGGGCCGTTTCAACCACACTGGGACCATTTCGACATCACCGGGGCCATCTCGACCTCACCGGTGCCATCTCAACCTCACCGGGGCCGATTCAACCTCACCAGGACCGGAGCCGTCTCAGCCTCACCGAGGCTGTCCAGCCTCACTGAACCCATGGGAATTAAAAAAAAATGTTTTTATTGATTTGAGAGAGAGAAAGAGAGAGACATTGATGTGAGAGAGAAACATCAACCAGTTGCCTCTTCTACTGGGGATCAAACCAAAGCCTAGGTATGTGCCCTGACCAGGAATCAAACTCACGACCTTTTGGTGTTCAGGACGACACTCCAAATCAACGGATCCACCGAGCCGGGCCACCACGGGAATATTTTTTAACTTCTAAAATTTTCATCCAATTAATACATGCCCAAGGCAAAGAAGCAAAGAAGGGCTTATAACAGCCCGTGTCCCTCGCCCCACCCCTCCCCATGTGCAGTCCTGCTCTCTGGAGGACGCCGCTTGGCTTTCTGTTTCTATTTCTTCTGTTGGCACCCTCCTCAGCGCCGAACAACAACCTAATATGGCTGTTTGTTTGCTTTTCCAAGAAGACAATTTGAGACATTATCTTTTGACTCTTTCCTGTGAAAGATAAGGATTTAGCAGACCTAGACCCAGTGCAGGAATCTCTCTGACTACAGCCCAGAGAGTGGCCACCCTGCCTCTGCTTGAATGCTTCCAGAGATGGCGAGCTTACCACCCCTCGTCATGCGGTCCCCAGTGTTCGTGTAGGACTCCCAGGCTTGTTTCGGTGTCAGATCTCTTTAGCCTGTGCAGTGTCGTGAACCAAACCAGTCGTTCTTAAACACTAAGCAATTTAAAAAGAGTAAAAGACTCATTAATCAAGTGTGTCTGGATAAAATGGGGAAGACAGACGTGGCATCCATTGCCCAGGCCTGTCCCCACCCCTACCCCTTTCTCCTCCCCTGGCCCCAGGCCCCAGGGAGAGGACTTTATGTGGAGGCTGTGATGTGATGGTGTTTCCTCTAACCTGGCTTTGCAGTTTGGGCGTCCTTGTCCTTGTCCTGGGGGAGCCAGAGGAGCGGGCTTGGGCTGAGGGTGTCTTCCTTATTGGCCACACATGATGTCAAGGGCAGGCTCAGATCTTTGTCAGCGCTTCCTGGCTGTCAAGAGCGAAGGCAGCTTTCCACTGGACCCTTTTCTTCAGCTTATTTTCCCCTCGGACCTGGGTACGAAGGGAGGCCTAACTGCTCTATCTTCCGTAGGAAAAGCATTTAAATGAACGACAACGCCCTTTGGGCCGGACTGTGTTGACCCGTTCTTAGTTGTCTTTGATTTGTACACTCTTTGAACCACAGCGCACTCCGTGAACACCAAATATTAATGTGGCCCGGGGAGCCTTTGTGAGGCAAGAACGTCAATTACAACATTGTGCAGAGGAAATGTCCCGGATCTAGGCGGACACCCGTGGACACCCGCTTACCTTTTATTCTAGCCGCTGAACGTAGATCTCCACAAACAGCTCTAAGGAATCCCGTTTTTGTCCTTTCTTTAAAAAATATTTTTGAATTGTGCTACAAAATATGCATAACTTAAACTTTACCATTTTAACCATTTTTAAGGATCTATAGTTCAGTGGCATTAAGGACTTTCACGTTGTTGTGCAACCATCGCCACCATCCATCTTCAGAACTTGTTTCATCTTGCAGAACTGAAACTCTGTGCCCATAAACACTAACTCGCCATTCCCCCTCCCTCAGCCCCTAACGGCCATCATGTTACTTTCTGTCTCGGAGTTGGATATTGTAGGTACCTCATGTAAGTAGAATCACATGCAGTATTTGCCTTTTGTTGTGTCTGGTGTATTTCACTTAGCAGAGGGCCCTCAAGAGTCATCCATGTTGTAAAAGGTCAGCATTCCCTCCCCTTTTAAGGCTGGATGATACCTCATTGTGTGTGTGTCACATTTTGCCTGCCCGTTCCTCTCTGGATGCACATCTGGGTTGCCTCCACCTTTTGACTATTGTGCACAATGCTGCTATGAACATGGGAGTCAGGATATCTGTTCAGGTCCCTCATTTTAATTCTTTTGGGTATAAACCTAGAAGTGGGATTCACTTGGTAATTCCTTTTTATTTGCATTTTAAATTGGTTTTTAGAGCGAGAGCCAAGGAGAGGAAGAGGGAGAGGGAGAGATAAACTTTGATGTGAGAGCTATGTGAGAGAGAAACATCAATTGGCTGCCTCCTGCACACCCCCTACTGGGGATTGAGCCCCGACCGGGAATTGAACTGGCAACCTTTTGGTGCATGGGACGCCACCCAACCAACAGAGCCACACCGGCCAGGGGGTGATAATTCATTTTTTTTTTTTTTTTAAATATATTTTATTGATTTTTTACAGAGAGGAAGGGAGAGAGATAGAGAGTTAGAAACATCGATGAGAGAGAAACATCGATCAGCTGCCTCCTGCACATCCCCCGCTGGGGATATGCCCGCAACCCAGGTACATGCCCTTGACCGGAATCGAACCTGGGACCTTTCAGTCCGCAGGCCGACGCTCTATCCACTGAGCCAAACCGGTTTTGGCTATTTTTAAGTTTTTGAGGAACTGCCATACTGTTTTCCAAGTGGCTGCACCATTTTACATTCCTATCAGCAATGCACAGGGTTCCAGCTCCTTCACATCCTGGCTGGCACTTCTTACTTGCTGTGTTTTTTGGACAGTGGCCATCCTAATGTGTGTGAAGTGGTATTGTAGTTTTGATTTGCATTTTCATAATGAATAGTGACGTTGAGCATCTTTTCATGCGTGTATCAGCCATTTGTTTATCTTTTTTTGCAGAAGTGTCTATTTAAGTAGGAAGTTCTTTCTTATGTGAACAGCTCTGGCCTCACTGGGCCTCGCCCTCTGGGGTCACCCCTGACAAGTCTGCTAGCCTGCTCTCTGAATTCCTCCGGAATTCCCAGAGGATCTGCATCTGCTTGGGCTTCGGTTCCCAGGCTGTTGATGGCTGGTTGGTGGGTTCCTTACATGTCTGTGCACCTCCCCCCAAAGCTGGTCTCATCTGTGATGTTCCTTTTTAAATTGTTGATGTCCTCCCCGCAGTGGGAGGTGATACAGCAGCAGCACAGTCTCTGACTTT